ATTTGTTGCTTGTACGTGGGGTGGACCCTGATAATCCTATCCTTTTGTCCCCCACCATGTTTTCTAGCCTTTTTCTTACCCTATTGACTCTCCACCATATACCTCATTTTTGAGGCATTCCACCTATATCTTGGTATTTTTGTGGGATACCATCCCCCTCTTTACTTTCGTGTTGGGGCAATTGCCATCTTAAGCTCTTTTCCTACTCACGTGGCTTCTTTGCTTTTGAAATCTTCTGGGGTGGGACATTATCTTGTGCCAAATTCGTTTACCATCCACTCCTAATCAGGACTTATGGACAGCTCTTTTTCTTTGCTGGTCAGTTTTTTGTTTGTTTGTTTGATTTTGGGGGGGTACACCTATGACTTTAGCATCACGTGGAGTATCTGTAATGCTACATTCAATTTTTTTCTTTTTTGGTTGCTCACTTGTCTTCTTCCAAGCCATTGAAATCTTATTCATATTCCATGTCCAGAACCTTCCCATTTAAGGGATCCTTCATTAGTTGTGTATTCTTGATGTACATTGGAGTTCTGTGATTGATTTGTCCTGCCTCAATCAGTTCTTGGTTCTTTCCTGTTTTACTATGTTCTCTTTTTTCACACTCTGGTGGGTAATGTCTCCAGGACTAAGGATGCCCAAGGTTGACATTTCATATTTTTATACCCACATTCCTATTTTTCATCCCTCATTATGATATCTTTGGATTGTTCACCATGGGGTTAGGTACCAGTTTTGCATCTTGCCCTTCGAGCTTGTCCTTATGTGGTTATCTGGCTTCTTTTAGCTCACTCCAAACTGGGGTTGTGTCAACATACTCATCTGTCTTTTACACACACAGTTCGTGTGGTTGGATTTTCCAGTTGGAGGTGTCTTTCCCGTTACTTATCTAACAATCTTGTCTTTTGGGGGTGTCTTTTTCACCCTATTCCATTGGGCCCATTCTCCTATTCAATGCATGTGATGAAACTTTCAGTTATCCATGCCATAATGCTAGTGAGGTTCTATCCTGTTAAGGGATGTGGCTTCTATGGAAGCACTTATCCCCTTTGGTCTGGCACATATGTGATCTCTTCAGGGGAATGATGCATGACCCATGGAATCTTGATAGGGTTCCTTTGGATTCTCCTTTCCTTTTCAGTGATATGCATTGGTGGTTAAACAAAGCCCTCACGTCATTGGGTTTACTGCTTCATCCTCCTTGTCCAGATTTGTTTCTCTTCACTGATGGTTACCTTCATGGTTGGGGCGTGTGGGTCATTTAGCATGAGGCTTCAGGACAATGGTATACAGCCAAAAGATCTTACCATGTTAACAACCTGGAATTTCCAGCAGTCCAACATGCTTTGGTTCATTTTCTTTTTCTTGTCAGGAATCGACTAATCATGATGACTTGTATCACTCACCAAGGGGGCACCCGCTCCAGTTCCCTATGTGGTCGACCTTGGATCTTCATTTTAGGGCTCACACACTTCACATATGTCTCTTGGTGTGTCACATTCTGGGTGCTTTGAACCTCATTATGGATTGCCTTTTCAGTCTCAACACACTTTATTCCACAGAGTGGTATCTTGATCCTCAAATTTCAGTGGCCCTGCCTCCAGTGAGGTACTCCGAAGAGGGAATCATTTCCCTCTTTCCTTGATTCGAAGCTACTCCTTTTTTTTGTCTCCAGTTCCTCATCCATCTGCCCTTGCTGTCTATGCATTCAGACAGGACTAGAAATAGTTTGTACCTTTATTTTTTCATCCCATCCCTGGGTTATTTTGTTCATCCATTCCACTCCTTGTCAGGTATTTCTGACTGCTCCTTCCTGGCCTGTATAGATCTGGTTTTCTCGGCTGCTTCTACTCGATCTCTTCCTTTTATTCTGGATCGATTTTTCCTCACCTACACTTTGGCAGCTCGTGTGAAGTGATCTTCCTTTTCGTCATTTTCGTTTCCTTCCATCTCCCACCTTTATTCCCAATCAGATCCAGATGGCCTCTATGTCCCATATATGATCTTGGTTGCTTTATTTCCCCTAAGCTTTCTTTCTGTTGGATCTCTTTCCCACAGTTTTGTTCCCTGGCACTACTTCTCTGTTTGTGATTTTGCTTTCCTTCCTCCCTTACCAATTGAATTTGGCTTTTGATTTGATTGGCATTTTTCTTCCTTATCACCTTCTTCCCAATATCAGTTTCTGGTGTCTTCATTGTGATCAGGCACCTTACCTTTTCCCTGCATCTCACCCCCATTGTATGTTAGAGGTACTTCTTCCATTGAGCACTGAGACTACACCTCCCATCACCAGGTTTGGATAGCTGTTTCTTCCTTGTTGGGGTACCCTCCTTCACTCTTCAGACTGTAACTGATTAAGTTACCTTTTTTTATATTTACCTTATATTTTTCATGGTCAAGCCCCTTTTTTTCTTCAAGGATCCTACTCTGTGGCGAGTGTTGTGTGTCCAGGTATACTTAAACTAGTTAAATTCACACTGTTAGGCCATAATAACTTAACAACTATACTTTCCATGGCCACTAAATGCACACTGTTGAGATGGGGTGTTCCACAAGATCACTCGTAAGTTTTCCTCATGATATATTTGCTTCATTAATATGCCCATTGTGGACCATATAACACATGGACTTCATGGGTATAGCAGAAGGGAATAGCTACCTATCCCAGCCATTCCTTAGATGGAATAAATCAAAAATGGTCTGCTTTTCAAAATAGGGTTTTCGTGGTCACCCATGTTTTCTTACCACTTTCCAGTTCCAAGTTTCTGGGGTGGTGAACCTTGGAGGCATTCTCCAGATGTGGTTGATATATAAGTGATGTAAACAATACTGAATGCATTCAGTTCAGAGTAGAGTGGTGGTGCTCTGCTGGTGTAGATGATGAGATGCCCTTCAATCTGATGCTCCATATCTGAATGTTGGGAATGTTGTAGCTTTGGAGTGAGCCATCAAAATTGCAATTCATCCCTTT